TGACTCTGGACCAGCTCTGGGGCACAGGAGGCTGTGGGAACAGCAGCCACAGGGGCTCCCAGGACAACCACCTTCCTGCCACGGCAGCTGCTGGCTCACTGACATGGGCGCTGAGTTATGTCCTCCTGTCAAGAGCCGCTGGGTTTCTGGGAGTGGAGGTTTCCCCCCAGCTGGAGTTTTGGTCAGTCCAGCTCAGGGTCCTGAGTAGCCGTAGCTTTTGGGGAGGCTTTGAGCCGTGTTCAGCTGCAGGCTCCAGCCAGGCTCTGGGGAGCCAGTACGCTAAGGTGACTCACAATAATCCTGGTTTTTATTTGGAATAAATGATGACATACTGGCAACAAGTGGTTGAGGGGCAGAGTGACTGATGACTCCGTGGGACCCCATTTGGCAGACAGTTAATAGCATTAATCTGCACTGTACTCTTGGCCTCTGCAGTACCAGAGAAAACAGGATTTGCTCCATGCCAGGGTGTCCTCAGCCATCCTGGAGCACCTCCATCCCCATCCTGAGCCACAGGCTGACAGTTCCTCTGCACCGTGGTGCAGCAGCAGTGTGAGGGAGCAGGGCCTGGCACTCCAGAGGAAAGACCTGTCCTGTACTTGGCCATAAACCCACGGGGACCCCAAAAGTGCTCTCCAGCTGGTGCCTCTTTAAAATTCAGCATAACCCATTCCCTTTGCCAAAATTGGTTTCCTCCACACTGTAAGGGCCTGTAGCAGCATCCAACATAATGTCACCAGGAAATTTCACCAGACCCTGTGTTTTATTTTGCCAAATTGCTCTTGAAAATATTAATGAGATCCAAAAAGGATCCTTAAGTGACTCTGCAAATTTTCTCCTTCCTGACTGATGGTACACTTTTGGCTAACTCCCATTTATGCTGTTCCCCAGGCAGCCACACCTTACCGAGGAATTCCCATTTTGGTCTGATCCAGGTGTTTCCCTGAAGCATCTGGGCTGCCACATGTCATGCCTGGGAAAAGGCCATTCTGGTTTTAGGTAATTTTCCATCCAGTGCCACGTCGTCAGTTGGGCTGTACTGAAAAGGCATCAGGGAGCCATGTGAGTCTCTTCTGGGGGGCTTGAGGAGACTGACTGGGAGAGGGACTTGGGGAACTGTCAGCAGTCTGGGGGCTCAGTTCCTGCAGGTCTTGGCTCAGAGGCAGGTAGTATTTACATGTCACCTGTCACTTACCTGATTGACAGGGAATATATCCAGCAGCTGCCAGGGGGTCACTTCCAAAGGGATGCAATTCCTGAGAGCTCCGGCCTTGCTGGGACCACCCAGCAGCTCCCTGGGAGAAGCTGGAGTTGCGCAGTGCAAGGTCTGTGAGCGAGCAAGTGGCTGGGCTGAGGGAGTTCCCCCAGAGCTGGGTGACTCCAGGCAGCTGCAGAGAGGTGCAGGGAGCTTGGAGGGGCTGCAGAGGCTGATGGAAGCTGTTCCTTCTTTCAAGATGAAACACTGGCATTCGTGGCAGCCTGTGCTGCTCCTCAGAAGTGTGATGAAAGGGCATATCCTGGTGGCCTGGGGCTCTCAGCCTGGATGGGTGAAGGAGCAGGGGTCAGATCTGCACTCCTTAGGGCCCTGCAGGACGTTCCCCTCTGCAGGAGGAGCTTCTCCCAGACCTTCTGCTTCTTCTCTCCCTTCTTCACCTTCCTCTGCTCTGTAGCTGTGGCCATAACCAGGGCTGGGGGCACTTGGAGCTTGGTGCTAGCAGAAACTCTGAGCTCTGAGCATCCCATCCCATCCCATCCCATCCCATCCCATCCCATCCCATCCCATCCCATCCCATCCCATCCCATCCCATCCCATCCCATCCCATCCCATCCCATCCCATCCCATCCCATCCCATCCCATCCCACCCTATCCCATCCCATCCCATCCCATCCCACCCTATCCCATCCCATCCCATCCCATCCCATCCCATCCCATCCCATCCCATCCCATCCCATCCCATCCCATCCCATCCCATCCCATCCCATCCCATCCCATCCCACCCTATCCCATCCCATCCCATCCCATCCCATCCCATCCCATCCCATCCCATCCCATCCCATCCCATCCCATCCCAGCCCAGCCCAGCCCAGCCCACCCCATCCCAGCCCAGCCCAGCCCAGCCCAGCCCAGCCCAGCCCAGCCCAGCCCAGCAACACCATTCCCAGGACCAAGCTCATCCCAGTCCCGGGAGAGCAGCGTTGTCCCTGCTTCAGCAGCAGCAGGCTCCCTCCCACGAGGAGGCAGAGAGGAGATGGATGCAGCAGTCAGGAGCGGAGCGCCAGCTAATTACCCTTCCGAGTGTGTCTTGTAAATTAAGGGCTAATTAGAGGCAAAGTCAGTGTCATGGTTTTACACGTGTTTCTGTGGCGCTGAACAAGGCGAGGGAGGGGGAACGTGCAGCAGCCGGGCTGGAGGCAGGCAGGGTGCTGGGGCTCTGCAAGGAAGGTCCTGGCAACTTGGGGTCGGGCTGGTGGGAGCGCAGGGTGCAGGTCAGCAGGGCCTGGCAGTTTGGGGTGCGGGGTCCTGCAGCCCGGGGGCAGCAGCCGTGCCCAGCAAGCCCTCCCTCGGCACTGCTGGCAGGCAGGATCATGGGGGATCCCTGCACACCCCCGCAGGGAAAGGGCATTTTGGTCCAGGGTGAGTTCAGGGAAGAGGAGGGTGGGAGGTACGTGCCATGCTGGTGATGAAGGAGTGATGGTGGTGATGATGGTGATGATGATGATGGTGATGATGACGATGGGTGGCAGCCGTGCCTGGTGCAGGGCTGGTGGCCACCTCATCCCTCCTTTCAACACTTGCCTTTGGAGGGAGTATTGGACTGTGAGCTGTCCCGTCAGACACTCGGCAGCCCTGGCTCTGCTTGGGCACATCTAAATAGCAACACTTGGGTTTTCATGGAAACAGCAAGGACAGAAACTTACATCTATGTATGAACTCTGAGGCTTCATGTGGGGTTTTGTGGGGCTCTGCTCTTCACAGAGGGTGGCACAGCACAGGGATAGGTTGCCCAGGGAAGTTACGCCATCTCTCTCCTTAGAGATGCTGCAGACTCAGCAGAAGCAGTCCAGGGCCACTGGCTCTGGGGGTGTTGAGCCGGGCTGTACAGGATGGTGCCAGAGCTCCCTTCCACCTCAGCTGTGCTGGGATCCATGACAGCCAAGTGAATGTGGTTTCCCACAGGAAGACTGGTGAGCTGTCCTGGCCGTAGCAGCTCCCACTGAGGACCTGCTTCCACAGGAGGTGTTCATTTGCTTCCGTGAAGGCTCCCACTTGTACCCGTCCCATGGGACCAATGGCTCGGCTCTCACAGCCCAGCTTCACCACGGCTGCAGGGCTGGAGCTGTGGGTGTGCAGCAGCTGGAGCTGTTCTGTGGCCCTGCCCTGGGCCATGGCCAGGTGGGCTGCAGTGAGAGTCCCAGCTCAGTGTCTGTGCCTCTGGGCACGGAAGGAGATGTAGCTTTGTAGTAGGGACAGGGCCCTTCTCTCACCCCTGAGCTCCCAGGGCACTTGCTCTGCAGTGGCTGGAGCAGAATGGCCTGAGGGGAGTGAAGGGAGAGGGGCTGGTGGTGGGCAGGTGCAGTAGGATCCCTCGGGCCACTGTCCTCTGTGGCAGATTGCCTGCAGACTGAATGGGAGGGGGTGTGCTCCCTGTCTGAACCATTTTGTTTGCTGTTCTGGACATTTTGGGTATTCCTATAATCCAGAAACACTTGACTCATTTTTCATCACTTGTCCTCTGTGACAGTCTCTAGTCCCAAAATCACTCCTCTCTTGGGGGTTCAGGTTTCTGGGCTCAGCCACAGCAGTTTTGAGCTAGTGGAAAAAGGAGCTTCCACCTGCTGTCCCTGCCTTACAGACATCTTTTCCCCTGCTTGTTTCTTTGACACCCTCCATGTGATTTCACGCTCTCTCCCCGTGTCCCCAGCATGGCTGGATTTCCTGCCAGGGACACACAAGAAGGTGAAGTTGAGAGATGAAAGTGGATGTGCTGGTTGTGGGGTGGGTTTGCGTTTGCCCAGGGGCCAGAGGATGTAGTGAAAATCATGACTGTGAACTCCAGCTGTGGGGAAGCTGTGTGCCAGAATTCCCAGCTGTGTATCCCGGGGTGCTGCACTGCAACCCACTAAGCTGGGAGCTGGGGCTCCCTCTGGGAAATGGGGCACGCTGGGCTCTTCCGTCAGCACCTTTGGGGTGATGCACAAGCATCCCTTGGGAGAGGAGAGCCAGGGAGAGCCAGTCCTCATGTGGAGCCACCCGAGGAGTGTGACCTCAGGTACGGGACAGCCTTTCCTTCTCCCCCGAGCTTCCAGGCAGCAGTCAGCCCGTGCTTCGTTCGTCTCTCTTGCAGGTGCTCCCCACTCGACCAGCAGCACCTCCCTGCACTCCGAGCGCTCCATCAGTGGCATCAACCTCGTGGGCTTCAGCTCCAAGCCAGACGGGATGCACCAGCGCTCCTACTCTGTCTCCAGTGCAGACCAGTGGAACGAGGCCGTGGCTATCCCTGGCAGCTGCCCCAACCCCTGTGAGTAGCCCTTCTGGCCTTGTCCCTCAGCCTCAGCAGGCAGGGCGGCTCCTTTCAGCAGTGGGGCAGTTCTGAGCTCTGCCCTGTGGTTGTGAGCCCAGAGCCTGCTCGTGAATGTCAGACACAGCCTCTGGGCCTCGCTGGGACTGTCCCCCGTAGCGAGGGTCAGCTGGCAGTGTCCCAGCCAGGGAAGAAGCTGTCCTGCAAGGCATGAAGAGCTCCAGCCAAGGGACGCTGCTCTGCAGCAGGATGGCTCCGAGCCCTCTGCTCTGACCTTGCTCTGAGCTCTGCGAGCTGGGGTACTGGGGTTACGTACCACTTCTTTCCCCCATAGCTGCACCTCGCTGGCACCCCCATCTCCCAGATTTCGGGGCAGCTGAAGGAATAGGAGTGATTCCTGTCTCTGGAGCACACACTGAGCACGGCCCACCCCCTCCCCCCACGCTCACTCGCTCTCAGTGATGTTTCAGGACAGTTGAGTGAATTAAAATAATTCATACATTTCCCAACGTAGCCACTTTGCCGAATTGGAAAATAAATGCTTTTGTGCTGCATTCATCACTCCTTCGTTCCTGGCTCTGCCGCCGCACTAAAAAAGCAGTTAAATGCACATCAAGAGTGGAGGAGCCATTTCCATGCCTGCTCGCCCCTTGTAGTTCTCATTAGCGCGGCAGCCGCCCCCCCGCCCGCTCCCAGGGGCTTTCGCAGTTTAAAGGAGCCTCTTTATGATCATTACCGGAGTCCGACTGTGCGGGCGCCATTTGCAGCTGAGGAGGCTCCTCATTTGTAACTGTGAAAAACTATCAATTTCAGCGCGCCTGATGCAGCGGCTCCATCATTGGCCCCATCAGCTCCCTGCTGGAAGCGAATTAATCAGACTGTTACTGCTGATGGGGCAGCGCGGGCGAGGGGAGCGGAGGGGCGCAGCGCTGAGCGGGATTGCCGCAGCCCCCTCGCCTCGGACACAGCCGCGGGAGCGTTCGAGGGGGACACGGCCGTGTCCGCTCGTCCCCGTGCTGGGAGGGTCCCCAGCGCTGCGGCACCGGGCCCGGCCGCGGGAGCCGAGAGCCCCGGCGCGCTCAGCAGCAGCGCTGGTGCCCTCATGCAGCGCCGGTGCCTTGGCACAGATCGGTTCTGTGACATCAGCCCTCTGGAGAGCAGCTCCTTGCCCCAGTTCCCTCCTGTCCCAGGAGCTGCTGTGGCAGGTCTCATCCTTCCTCCCTGCAGCCCCTCTGCGGAGCTGGGGGCTGGTGTGGCCATGCTGTGTGTTGCTCTGCCCTGTCCTGCTCTGCCCTGGGTGGCACAGGAGAGCAAGCCAGCCCATGCCCCCCTCCCTCTGTCCCCTGTCCTGCCCCCTGTCCTGCCCTCATCCCTCTGTCCCCTGTCCTGTCCCCTGTCCTGTCCCCTGTCCTGCCCTCATCCCTCTGTCCCCTGTCCTGTCCCCTGTCCTGCTCTGTGTCCCTCTGCTCCTTGTCCTGTTGCTGTCCGTGGAGGAGCTGTCCGTGCTCACAGCACCTGGAGCTGTCTGCCTCTTCTATGTGCAGCAACTGAAGACTCAAATGAGAGCTGATCTGCATGGTCTGTTGTAGCAGGAAAAGGAATAATGTTTTAAACTGAAAGTGGGTGAGTTTAGACTAGATATAAAGAAGAGATGTTTTATTGAGAGGGTGGTGAGGCAAGCAGGGTGCCCAGAGCAGCTTTGGTAGTCCCATCCCTGGCAGTGTCCAGGTTGAACGGAGCTTGGAGCAGTCTGGGGTGGAAGGTGCCCCTGCCATGGCAGGGGGTGGGATTGGGTGAGCTTTGGTTGTTTCCCACCCAGACCATTCTGTGGTTCTGTGCTGCTGCCCCTGCCAGTGACAGGGGGGGTGAGATGCCATCTCGGTGCTCACTGTTGTCCTGCATGCTGGTGGCTGCTCACCCGCTCTCAGGTGCCAAGCCCTGTGCTGACCCCGAGCCTTGTGTTAGTGCTCCACAGACTGGCCACGGGGCCAGCAGCTCTGGAGGGCCCACAGCACAGCATGGGCACTTGCCTGGGGTCCCAGGCAGTTCCCATCGCTGCTCTGTGTTCCCCACAGCCACAGCTGACAAAGTGGATTCTCAGTGTCCTGAGGGAGGGGGCATTTGTTGGGGGCAGCTCTTTCCACATGGCAGGGCTGAGCTGAGCAGCACAACCAGCCCTCCATCCAGGAGCTGGGCTGAGTGAGGCTGCACCACCGCTGAACCTTGGCTCTGCCAGGGCCCAGGCTCTGCTGTGTTTCCAGTTCTGCATGGCCGGGCAGGTGAGGAATTTTCCTGTGCTCAGAGCTGATTTTGGGCACATAGCAAGGCTGTAGGCTGCCACCTCAGCTCCTGGGCACAGGCTGCCCACTCTGGTTGTGCCCTGGAGAGTAGATGGAAGAGCAATGGGATGGGGCCAGGCAGTCATACAAACATGCTCCAGCAGTTTCTATATCTGTCCCTCATGCGGGAGCTCTGCAGCACACCTGGGGGGTCCCAGGGCCCCCCCTAAGGCTGACTGGTTTGGAGAAGGGCCCAGGGGGTCCCAGGTGTGCCTGTGAAAGGTTCCCTTGGTGAGCTGGGGCTCTGGAAGTCCTTGGGTAAGTCAGAGGGGTTCCATTGCCCTACTGGGGAAGGAGAGCGTGAGCAATGCCTGATCTAACAGAGAGAGTGTGTTCCATGTGCTGCCCCACCCCACTGCCATCCTGTCCCCATCCCATGGGGCCCTGCAAGTCCCCAGCTCTGGTGCTGGCTGCTGGGCAGGAAGAGCAGGGATGTGGGTGACAATCCCTCAGGAGCTGCAGGCTCACAGCAGGCCACAGGAAGGGGAGTGCAGAAATGTGCAGCCCCTCTCATCGAGCCTGGAGTGGGGCAGGGTGCCAGAGGTGTGGGATTTGGCCCAGGGAGCATCCTGGTGAGCAGGTGGGCAGCAGAGGGAGGATGGAGGCACCACGTGTAACCACTGATGAGAAAGTTCAGGTCCCCTGTGACATATGGCTAGGAGCTGAAGGTGCTTCACACCTGCTGTAAGCATGGTCCTGTAGCAGGATCAGTAATTTATATTTAGAAAACTGGAGTCTGATTTTATTAGATTTATCTCTCTTAATTGTCAAGGGTGAGCTATTTCCCCATGGATAAATAGCAGCAGAAACACCCTACTGGTGTGTGTCAGTGCAGGAGAAACCAGAGCTGGGAGAGCTCCAGTGCTGCAGCCTCTCTCAGGTGTGTGAGGGGGACACCAGCTGCACCTCCATCCATCCCTGCCTGGGCCTCTGACCCTCTGTGCCTCTCTCCACCCACTTTCGGTGTTTGTTGAGACTGACCAAGCCCCAGAAACCAGTCTGACCCAACCAGGATGAGCCAAGGGAGCAGAGGACAGGCTGGGGTGGGAGAAAGGCTTGGCAGGTCCCTGCCATCCCACTGCTGGAGCTGCTGCCCTTGTGCAATGCTGTGGTTCCTTTCTTGACTCCAGGTGCCACAGAACATGGAAATGGCAAGTCAGGACTTGATGGGAGACACTGGACTGTGGCAGAGAGGACAGCACGCTGCCTGGGGCAGAGGTGCTGGGCATGGAGCTGCCATCTATGCCCTGGGGGTGGGTGGACACTGCAGAGGCAGGAGTGGATTTAGGAGAGGGTTAACAGTGCAGCGAGGACTCCTGCGCCTCGTTGCCTTCCCCGGAGTCTGCATTTTTATGCTGATTGGAAGCCTGCGCTGTGTGTGCTGCTGAAATTGAATGTCAGGCTTTTGATTTTGTTGCTGGTCTCTAATGAAATTTGACATTTAATGGTGAGTGCAGCGGCAGCGTGTGTGTGTGTGATCGGAGCTTGATTAGCGCACTCTAATTGACAGTAATTAGGCAGCTCCCTGATTGTTTCTAATTCTGCTATTAATTGTAAGGAACAGTATGATTGAGGATAAATTTGGTGCGTTGCTGCTGGGGATGCAGCTTCTTCAGCTCCGTATCGGAAGCCTATTGAGCCCATCACGCTCAGGTTCCTGAGTGTGGCAACCCCAGTCACCTCGTCTGGCAGAGCAGTGCTGGGAGGGCAGTGCTTCTGCAGAGGCTCTGCAGATCCTGGGGCTGCCTCAGAGAGCCAGGTCACCTTCTGGGCCTGTCCCTTCCCAAAAGGCCTGTCCAGACACGGGACACTGCCCTGTGAGGGAGCTGCGTTTGGGGATGGGGCCTCGGCTGCTCCAGAGGTGCTGCTGCACGTGTCCCTGTGCGATCGTTCTGCGTGGATCCCAGCGCAGAGCGGGTCCAGCCGAGCGCCCAAGGAGCTGCCAGCCCTGAGCTGCACTGGCTGTGGGGGTGGCCCTGTGCCATGGAGCTGGGCAGGTCCCGCCCTGTCTCATGGGGTCGTGTGGGTCGAGCCAGCCAAGTACCGGGGCTGGCTCCAGAGCACTTGGGTGTCTCTGGGGAGAGGAGAGTGTCTGTCCCATGTACGTGACTTGCCTTATTTTTGTCCCCAGCTAATGGTACTGCCGACTCCCTCAGTTCCAGCCCAAACATTTCCAGTGCTGCCAGCCCAAAGCTGGAGCCGCCTCCGTCACCACATGCCAACAGGAAAAAGCATCGCAGGAAAAAGAGCACAGGGACAACTCGGCTTGATGGCCCCAGCACGGCCGCAGAAGGTAGGAAGGGTCTGCCTGGGGGGCAGCTCTGCTGCTCAGAGGGTCCTGCGGTGCTCTCTGGGTGCCTGGGGCTCGGAGCGCTTCTTGTGCAGGGCTCAGAGCACTCTTTGTCCAAGCACTTGGGCTGAGGCAGGAAAGGGCTACCAGCCTCTCTGATCTGCCTTTCCCTCCACTTCCCACGTGCCCTGCAGAACCACCATCATGCCTGTGCGTGCTCAGACAGTCACTGGTAATTAAAATTGCTAACTGTAGTAGCAGACCTGAGAGCACACCATATGGTTAAGGTGTGCTCTCAGACACTTTACACTACAAGGACCTAATTCCATTGACTTGTAAATTGGCCAGACTTTCACAATTCAGAAGACCTGTGCTGGGCACCTGCCTCAAGCTAAGGGTCTTTTGGAAAAGCTGATCTCCTTCAGGGGACCAGCTGAAGGCATGTGCATTGCTTTCCCGATGTTCAGAGTACTGACAGGTTTTTTGTTGAGAAATTCTGGTGTCTGTGGTTGCTAAAGAGGGACCCAAAGCTTCACAGGGAGGCTGCAAGGCGTGGGGAAGCATTCTGCTGGGAAAAGTCACCAAATTTGTCCAGGTAGAGAACATGGCAGCCATGTTCTCCAAAGCCTGCATCTGTGATAGCTACTGGAAAAGTGAGATTTTACTTTATTCTTGGTCATCCTGTCCCACAGCACTCAATAAACTTCTGTAGTGAACCGAAGTAAAGACATAATTCAGAGGGGAGGAAAGTTCGGTACAAGTGTTTGGAGCTAACAGTTGCTGCAAAACAAACCAGGAAATATTAGTCTGTACCAGAAGGTGCTGCAGCTGTCCTGGCACCTTGCTCCAAATCACGTGTCTGCCTGCAGTCCAGCAGCCCAGGTGTCCCACAGCAGAGCAGCTCAAGGTCTTCTTGGAATCATTGCTTTGATGTTGTGCAGAGCTGGGCAGCTCTGTTGGGGTTTTTTTCTGTTGTAGCTGTCTGCATCTGAAATGCAAAAGTCTAAGACAGGTTTCCTATCTGCCGTGGTTGACTGAGGAACCTTGAGCATCGTTTGAGTGTGTCAAACTGGTGTCCCATGGATAGCAAGAAGCGTTGCTTCTTTGTTCTTAGCTCTGTGTGAATGTTGCCTCCTCAGACCCATTGGCCTTCCCGAATTGGTTTGCAGTTCTCAGCCCAGTGCTTGGCAAAAGGAGAGGCTCATTCTTTGTATGAATAGTGGGACAGTGAAGGAGGGGATGGTTTTGCACCCCCACATGTAAGATGAGAAAGCATGTGCCGAAGAACTGTGTCCTGTCCTGTAAATAGAATGCTAAGAGAGTTGTAAAGGAGGTCCAGAGCTGACCTCGGAGTGATGATTGGGTTTGTGTTGTGCACAGGAGGGCTCTCAGCTGACCACAACAAAGACCAAGAGGCACAGGACTGATGTGTCAGTGCTTGCAGAGGAGGTCTGGTCCTGCAGCCCCTCAGCGCAGCGGACCGAGTGTGAGAGGTGCAGAATCTGGGACCTGACATTGTGCAGAACGTGATGCCAATTTCTAGTGGAAAAGGGAATTGAATGTGGGAACACTTTTATGAAGTAGTAACATGAACTAACCATTGCTTGAAGTCTTAAAATTTGATTAGTTCCTTTTCAGCAACACATGCGTGCTTGGCAGAATTCCCAGCCCTCCGCTCCCAGATGCACAGGCTGGAGGGCTGTCACCCTTCTCCTTGTGTGCCCAGGACAGGAGTCCTTGAGCAATCCCAGTTTTTCCATCATCTCATAGGGATGTTTTTT